AACCTTCGGGTTGATCCATATAAACTTCCTCATCTAAGTCTCCATTTAGAAAGGCCGTTTTCACATCCATTTGATGTAACTCTAAATCATACTGAGCTACTAAAGCCATAATGATCCTCAAGGAATCTTTCTTAGAAACAGGTGAAAAACTCTCCTACAAATCAATGCCATCTTTCTGAGTATAACCCTTGGCAACAAGTCTAGCTTTATGTCGTTCGATATTGCCACTCGACTCGCGTTTGGTCTTAAAGACCCACTTACACCCAATTCGTTTTGAACTTTCTGGCAATTCTACTAGATCCCAAACATTGTTTTTAGCCATAGAGTTTAACTCTTCTTTCATAGCATCAATCCATTTATGAGACAAGTCACTGTTAATGGCTTGTGAAAACGAAACAGGATCTTCATCAATGCTAGTATCATAATCCAACTCTTGCAAATAAACCACATAATCATCCGAAATAGCAGATTATCTCACCCTTGTAGGTTTGCTTAATGCTATTCCACGTGGTTCATTTATATTAGTTTGTGGCAAGTTAGTCTCTTTATGGGGTGCTACTTCATCCAAATTTTGTCCACCATTATTTTGTGGTTGTGGAACAATATTTGGTACAACTGTGGATATTGGAACATTAATGGGTAATGGAACATTAACCCTTATTTCATTAATTTCCACAGTCTCTTTAGCACTCCCACTAACTTCACCATTTTCAATAAATCTAGCATTGCTCGTTTCAACGATTCTAGAACTATGATTAGGACAGTAAAACATATACCCTTTGGACTTCTGTGGGTAACCAATAAAGTAACCACTCACAGTTCGAGAATCCAATTTCTTTTCATGTGGGTTGTATACTCGTGCTTCTGCTGGACAACCCCAAACATGCAGGTGTCTCAAACTAGGTTTCCTTCTAACCCATAACTCAAAAGGAGTTTTAGGAACTGCCTTACTAGGAATCCTATTTAGCAGATACACGGCAGTCTTAAGTGCATACATCCACAAAAATTTGGGTAATGATGTATTACTTATCATACTCCTAACCATATCAATTAATGTTCTATTTCGCCTTTCTGCTACACCGTTTTGTTGAGGTGTGCCTGGCATAGTATACTGTGCACATATGCCATGTCTTTCAAGGAACTTAGCAAATGGACCGGGATTTTGTCCCGATTCATCATACCTTCCATAGTATTCACCACCTCTATCAGACCTTACTATTTTCACCTTTCTGTCTAACTGCCTTTCAACTTCATTAATGAAAACCTCAAGTGCATTTGCAGCTTGAGATTTTTTCTTCAGCAGATAGACATAACGAAAACGTGAAAAATCGTCTGTAAAGGTAATGAAATACTTTTCTCCATTAAAGGATGGAGCATCAAAAGGTCCACATATATCGGTGTGTATAATTTCAAGAAGCTGACTACTTCTTGTGGCTCCTTTCTTGTTATGTTTGGTTTGCTTTCCCTTAATGCAATCCACACACAACCCAAGATCGGTAAAATCTAGATCCAAAAGAATCTTATCTTTCACCAACCTTTGCATTCTTTCTTTGGATACATGACCCAAACGTTTTTGCCACAAGAAAGCAGAGTTCTCATTTGCTACACCACGTTTAATTCCAATGTTTTGATGAACACACATTAAAGATGCAGAAAAATCAACATCAAGTTTCAGTTTATATAAACCATCCATAAGAATTCCAAACCAATAACGGAATCATGTTTATCAAACAAACTGAAACATCCATGTCCAAACTGAAAGGAAAACCCAAGAACATCAAGTCTAGAAAGAGACATTAAGTTTCTAGAAAATGAAGGAACATAGAGAGTTTGTAAAAGATCCAGGTGGTGCCCGGAATCTAAAACAATACGGTAAGTCCCTATTCCTTCAATTGGGGCCTTCATACGGTTCCCCATAAACAAGAAGTTCTCATTTGGGTTTATGCTCTGGATTGTAAGAAATCCCTGCATCACATTAGAAACATGAGTTGTAGCACCAGAATCCAACCACCAAGTATTTGAAGGAACTTCAGACAAGTTTGATTCGAAATATACAAAGATATTAGAAATACCTTTCTTTTCAAACCAAGACTTGCGTTTCAGGTAATCTTTCTGTACGTGACCTTCTTTTCTACAGAAATTACATTTATTTGCCCGATTTTCCTTCTTTTCATCATTAGTGACCTGTGAGACTTTAGCAGGTCCTTTCTTCTTAAACTTGTTGGATTTCGGTTTGAGAACATCATTAGCTCCTCGACCCACAAGGTTGACTGTATGAACTCCTTGTGCCTTAAGTCTCGTCTCCTCCTGAACAAGCTTACTGGCCAATTCATTAACATCCCACTTATCCTTAATAGTGTTATAGTTAATTTGAAAAGGCCCATATTCAGGAGGCAACGAGTTAAGCATAAATTGCACCAGAAATGAGTCATCCACAGTCATACCCAGGGACTTAAGCCTTGCTAAGATTAGTCATGTCAAGAACATGTTTCTGCATACTACGCGACCCATCATACTTTTTGGTCGTGAGTTCAGCCATAAGTGTTCCTGCCAATATCCGCGGAACAAAAACGCTCTTCCACAAGCAAAAGATATGCTTTCGCAACCACATTATCGGGAAGAGTTGACTTAATGTTGTTGGCAATCGTCATTCGCATAAAGCTCAAACATAATCTGTTAGACCTGTCCCAAGCCTTACGGTTTGATTTCTCAGCCTCACTACTTTGATCATTAATATCAGCGGGCTTCTCTTCAAGCAGAGCCAAGTCAATATCCAAAACACCTAAATGGAAATTGACTTGCCCACGCCATTCAGAGAAATTCAAACCATTGAAGACAGTAACAGAAGAAGCTTGCGAATGAAGAGAGATAGCTGCACAATCATAAACGCTCACTTAATTAATAGATTCATATAATACATTCATCACATATATTGGAGGTCTCCTTTGGGTAAACACAACAATATATATCATTATCATAAGTCGAATGTCATTTAACACTTAATGAGAAATTAAATAAACTTCACCTAACATACATAGTATCTTTGGATATCTACATACGCTCGACAAAGAATATTATATTTCTCCTTAATGTTTATTAGTTATAGAACATTGATTCACCTTTGGGTAAATCCATAATTTCTAACAACTAATAAACTCATTATCTTAAATAATGACATTCTCGAGAGAACATAAGTTATATGACCAAACATTAGAAAATTAATCCGGCCACTTTGGTGACTAATAAATTAATTTTCTCTTAATGTCATATAACAATCAATGATAACAATAATATTATATGACCGGACATTAAAAATTAATTAAGCCACTTTGGTGACTAACAAATTAATTTTATCTTAATGTCATATAATAAGCATTATAACAATAATATTATATGACCAAGCATTAAAAATTAATTAGGCCACTTTGGTGACTAACAAATTAATTTTATCTTAATGTCATATAATAATAAATATTCATAATGTTAATAAACTAACCCTTTTAAACATAATGGGAGTTTGTCAACTCAATCATTATCATCCAAAATACATAAATTGGATTAACTAATAAATAGACATTCATGTTCTAAACATATAAAGAACACAACTTCATCAATTTCCATTCAATTGATTTATGTAAATGGAATCAAACTACAAATCAATTGCACACAATCATAGGCACATTGACAACTTGAATTGGAATCTTAAACAATTTCCAAATGGAACAAATAATTCTTGGTGTCCAGGTTATGCACAGATCTTATTGAATTCATCGTAATGCTTGATTTGTCAAAATTTCGCATATATAAAAAATAAGGACAACAGACAAATCAACATACAATGCAACAGAGATTAACGAATTGATATAAGCACAGAGAACTGATGTTTTTTATTCATCAATCAATATAAACTTCATTATTGCCATCAATTCAATTAAATTAGTCCATTAACATCAACGTAATAATATCTCAACATTAATACAAACAAATTATTTATTCATAACACATGCTCTGATACCACATGTAAACCTCGTTAAGGATCTTGAATAATAATTTGGTATATACGAAATACTTACTTGATGCAGAAGACGACATAATTAGTGATCTTGATCTTGATGATCACAAGAGGCTTGATCGATTATGAATCTAAATTAGTTTCTCCCTCCTGACCTTCTCTTAATGTAGCAGAAAAGTGATAGGATAAAACTGCGTACCCTAATAGGAGGAGAGAGGACTAATTTATATAGGAGTGTCTTTAGATCTGGTACGTCCATCAAATATCCAGATTAATGGCTTAGATTTGTTTGACTATTAAATAAGGTCTGGCCCAATAGGATAATTAAATGTGAGCCCAATGCTTTCGGGCCACATATTCTTACACCCGGAACCGTCCCGACTATATCTAAGGGTCGATTCAAATGAACCAGCCCGACCTAGCGTTTCATTAAACCGCCAATTCAACAACGACCCGCCAGAAGACTCGAAACCGGCTCGGCTCTGCCCGGTCGGTCAAAAAAGCAAAAAAATCGACCCTGAACCAGCCCTTAAAGGCTAAGGGTTTGGTTCGAAAACCACTACATCCTGGCTGGTTCCGGGTCGGTCGATCCGTGAACACCTCTATTAACCAACTCTTGAAAAGAGGAACAAAAGAAGAAAAAAAAAAATGCCTCAACCTTCCGATTGTTTGGTCTTTTAAGCACTGGTAACGTTATCCTATCACCTTATTATTAGTGCAAATTGAATCACTCCTTTACTTAAAGCATGCACCAATAATGTCACAAAGTGTGCACTCAAATTGAAATCCAAAGAAAATGTCATGTCGATTTGAATCCGTACGTAGCTCTATAAAAGAACATAGCAATTTGTGGCGAAGCTCTACATAACAATTATTCAATCATTTTCTTATATCCTAAATAGGAAACATCTCAATTGGTTATATTATAAGAGAGTGAAGCATATATATACAAAAATAATAATAATAATAATAAATAAATAAATAAAAAATGGCACCCGGTTTAAGTGAAGCTGCTCAATACAATGGCAGGATCACATGGTTCGTGTTGTTGTCGTGTGTTGTTGCAGCCACCGGAGGACTAATCTTCGGCTATGTTACTGCTGTAACCGGTACATTTCCTCATGTTCGTATTTGATTTTTGACTCAGAGGCATTTTTTTTTTATTCTGATTGTACATATAGAGTAACTACAAAAAATGTTCAAAATAAACCATATATAGATCGTATACTAAATGAATAATCACTTCACATGATCGCACGATATGACTGCATAACAGAATCACATCGCGGGATTAATTGCAATACATTATAGAAATATTGTTGAAATTAATGCATACTTTGGATAGTAATAAAGTGCATGGTACGTTTTCTTTCAAGTCCTAATCCTAATAGAGCTTAATCACGAGCTATATAGAATATTGTTGATATGAATGTAATGTGTGTGTGAATTAATTATAAGGTGGAGTGACCTCAATGGAGCCATTTCTAAAGAAATTCTACCCCGAGACTTATAAAAAGATGAGCAAGCAAGACGCGCACACGAGCAACTACTGCAAATTCGACAGTCAGCTCGTCACGCTCTTCACGTCATCAATCTTCATTTCCGGGCTCGTCGCCACTTTCTTCGCCTCAAACATAACGAAAGCTTTTGGACGCCGCGCATCCATCCTCATAGGTGGCATCGCCTTGATGGCCGGCTGTGCTCTCGGAGGCGCCGCCGCCAATCTCTTCATGCTCATGTTCGGCCGCCTTTTGCTTGGAATCGGTGTTGGCTTCACCAACCAGGTGAGTCGATCGCCGATAGAAACTACTATTATAGGTTGTCATAAGACGTCGTGTTTACTATTTTCTTTTTGGTCGTAATATTAGTAAATAGCCTTCTCATCAAAGACGGACCTAGATGAGGTCCAGAGGGGCCCGTGGGCCCCCTCAATTTTTTTAAAAAATCATTATATATATATATATACAAATAAAAATAATGCTATAAAATATAAACAAAAATGTAAAAAAACATGTATAATATATAAAAAAATTAAAACTTAATTTCAATGCTATTTCAATTTAAAGTAATAATATTATTTATTTACTGAAAAGTATACTAACAATTTTTATATTTTACATTTCTGGATAAAATTTTTGAAATATATAATTATTTACTCTTTCGATCTCTTAATTGTAAATCAATTTAAGGATTTATCAAATCTAGAATTTAGTTGGATTATTTTAGATTTTTTTATTGTCGATCGATTATATATTTAAATGTCGATATTTTGCTTTATTTTTTATGCAATCACATATTTTAAACCTTATTTATTTTTAATAACATGGTCATTTGGTAAACTCTCATCAACAAAAAAATATTATGCAACGTGTTGCAAAACTTCAATGTAAATCAAATATTGAACAAAAAAAGCTTATTTTTTTCATAAATTATAAATCTTAAATTTAGATTATGAAAACACGAAATCTCATTTTTTTTCTTAAAAAAAATTTAAGGGTGATACGCATTCTAAGATTTTAACATATCAATATATATATTTATTTATAAACACAACTTTATATGAAATGAGTTTTTTACGTAAACTATAAAGTCGTTATTTAACATTTAAAATTGGGCCCCCTGAGTGAAAATCCTATATCCGTCGCTGCTTCTCATTTTTGTAATATATGAAATATATATAGCTACATCTCTATAGGTGTGATTGTATATGAGTTGAATAGTAAAAAACTCAATTCAAACGCAAATTTTAACTCAACCTCACTATCATCAGTATTATCAATATAATTAAATAATATCAACCAATCATTAACTAATCATTTTTACATATCACATCAACTTAATTCACTATTCATCCACCCCAATCTCATATGTTATATTTTATTTTTATTTTAAAATCTATTCAGTCGGTCCCCATATACCTCTCGGAAATGGCGCCCCCAAAATACAGAGGAGCCTTCAACTTCGCCTTCCACCTCAGCGTCTCTGTCGGCGGCCTCACCTCCTTCCTCGTCAACTACTCCTCCCAAAAAATCCCCGGCGGCTGGGGCTGGCGTATTTCCCTCGCCGCCGCCGCCGCCCCTGCCTCTTTCCTCACCTTATGCGCCCCTTTCCTCCCCGAGACCCCCAACAGCCTCATCCAGCAGGGCCTCCCCGGCGCTGAGCGCATGCTCTGCCGTATCCGCGGCACCGACGATGTCACCGCGGAGCTCCACGACCTCATCTCCGCCAGCAATGCCTCCAAAAAGATCGAGCGCCCTTTCCGAACCCTCCTCACCCGCCGCTACCGCCCCCAGCTCGCCATGTCCGTCGCCATCCCCTTCTTCCAGCAGGTCACAGGCATAACCGTCATTTGCTTCTTCGCCCCCATGCTATTCGAGGCCACGGGCTCGGGAGCCAGCGCTTCTCTCCTCTCCTCAGTTGCCCTCGGCGCCGTGGGCGTGGGGACCACGCTCTCGTCTCTCTTCTTAGTGGACCGAGTCGGGCGGCGGGCCCTATTCCATGCGGGCGGGGCCCAGATGCTGATCCCTCAGATTGCGGTCGGGTGGATTATGTCCTCCGGTGGGGGTAGCGTCGGGAGGGTTTACGGCGTGGTGGTGCTTGTCTTGGTTTGCGTGTACGTGGCGGGTTTCGCGATGTCATGGGGCCCGCTGGGTTGGCTAGTGACGAGCGAGATATTCCCGTTGGAAGTGAGGTCGGCGGCGCAAGGGGTGAATGTAGGGGTGGGGTTCGTGTCGACGTTTGTGGTGGCGCAGGCATTCCTGTCGATGCTGTGCGGGTTGAAGCACGGGATCTTCTTCTTCTTTGCGGGTTGGGTGGCGGTGATGACGGGTTTCGTGTATCTGTTCCTGCCGGAGACGAAGGATGTGCCGATAGAGAAGATGGATGGGATATGGAGGGAGCATTGGTTTTGGAGGAGGTACGTTTGCGGCGGCGGTGGTGGTGATGGTGTTAATAATAAGGCTAATGGTGGTGGTTCTGTTGGGGAGGAGGATTATTAATTAATAAGGAGTCATGATTAATTTGTGTGTAATGGTCGTGGTTAATTATTAATTTAATAATATAAATATGTATCCCATATAATTGTACCACATTTTGTGTTCTAAGTTTCTAAATTGGTACCATAATTCGTGGAGTTGAAACATGTAGCATAAATATTGTGATTTGATGTGTGGTCACGAGCATAAAATTTGTGGAATGGGACCCGGACCGGGAGAATGTGTTTGTTTGCTTTTATTTTGTTTTATTTTGTCTTTGTCCACCATATCATGTGTAGACATGACCACGAGTGGAATTGGCATGTCGGTTTGGCCCGAATCGTTCTGAAACCGGCCCTGAACTGATTTGGGATCAGCCCGTGGTCAACGGGCCTTGAACTGGGTTGCATGAGCGAATAAAGTTGCATGAGCGAATAAAGTTACTAAAAATTAAAATTTAATCATCAACAAATAATATTTCATGAATATATAATTATATTAAAGAATTAAAATTTTATGGATTAACGCTAGTCAATTATCGAACAATATGCAATTTATGAATTGTTAAAAAATTACAAGATTAAAAAATATATAACTTTATAAGTACATGCAGTTTTGTGTACAAACACCATACATAATATTGTAGGCATATATATAATTTAATAAACTTATAAATAATATAAATTAAATAATCAAAACTTCCAAAATAAATAAAAAATATAAAGAACATTTAAATGATTTTTACGTTTTATTGGATTGATATATAGTATCGATTAGAGATGATATAATATCTTAAATAATTTAAAAATATTTAAATAATAAATATTTATATGGTATATCTTAATTTATACGTATTTGAATTAATACCTTTTTTACAAGGTTTACATAAAAACATAATATAAATTTATTATTTAAAATCAAAAGTTAATGAATGGTAGGTATCAGATCACATGATAATTTATTCATTAAATTAACTATTTTCAACGTAATTCAAATAATCTCAATAATTTATTCATTAAATTAACTATTTTCAACGTAATTCAAATCACCTCAATAAATTGAGAAATGCTATGTATTGTCAACCTAGTTGTACAGTAGTTTGACTATGTATCATTTTTCAAATAATAATATAAGAACAAAGTTTACCTATCGTTATGCGAATGGATTGTACCGTCACATATCACTTGCATAATGTCGCACATTTGTTGCACGATATTTTTGCACTTTAACTTGTTTCACACCATAAAGTGCAAAAGTGTTATATGAATGGACCTCATAATTGTTACATATTAATTGCACAATTATCATTTTAATATCAAACATTGTCTTTGCACTTTATGAGGTGAAAAACGTTAACTTATCAGGAGACGATGTGAAAAACTTAATACATTTCATAGTGGGATGGAAAAGATTATTTTCACTTTTGTCTAAAATTATATTTTATTAAATATCGCAATTTTTAAATGCAATGTTTTTAGAATTTACAAAATTTTTTGAACTTATGTGTCGACTTCTGGTGTTTCGTAATCTTATTTATCGATCTAGTTATTTATAATCACGTGTGTTAATTTATGGTAACGTATAGGTTTATATTTCTATTCATACATATTACTAGTATTCGACCCTGTGCATTTGCACAGATGTAAATAAAGTCTTGTGAGTTATTTGTATGCATATAATGGTGAATTATTTTTCTTTCACCTTTTTGCTGGCCAAATTTACAATTAAAGAAGTTGGAATATTTAGTTTTTTTTTTAAATTACGTTTATCTGATTGGATGTAATGTATATTTTGGTACATCTTTTTTTGTGAAAATTTATTATTTATTTAGAAATTATAAATACGTTTTTTATTTAAAAAAAAATAATTTAAATGTAATCACTATAATAACATCTAATCACATTATATGGTCAACACATTATAAGGTCAACTGTCAGTAATCAAATGTTTAAAATGATTTTTGTAATTTTGAAGTGATTAGTGTTGATTATTTAATAATTAAATAAAAGATTAAATACATCAAAAGTAACGGTTTTTGGAGGGAAAAGGGTTAAATTGCCACATAGGTAAAATTAAATAGGTTTTATTAAATGCTATTAGCTAGTAATTATATATATATAAATGACTTTCAAAATGATAAAATACTTAACTAATTATAAATATATTTTAAAAATTAACAATTTATGTATTTTTTTATCAAATTTACATACATGATACCTAAAACAAATCATATTTTTGGTGAGTTTTTGTATATGTAAATAAATGTATATGCTTACCTTTATAATAATAATAATAAAAAAAAAGTTATCTTTCAATTTTAATTAGAAATAATAAAATTATTTACCAATCAAATAAATTTATCTATAAAATCCCATCCCCTCCCCTATATATTAATACAGAACGCGCTGAGCCTACGTGGCTGCTTCTGGTGCTTCGGAATCCTATGTGGCAAAATTACATGCTTTGTTATTAGGCTTGGGTAAATTTTAATTTAATTCCAAACCAAAAATAATTAGGTTCGGATTAGCATAAATAGATTGATTATTTATGATCATGTTACATGTATTAATTGCATTTTAATATCATTCCTTATTATAATTATTGAATTGTATATATGTTTTAAAAGTTAATAACTTTTGTATTTTTTATCAGTTTTACATATGTAATATATCAAATTAATCTTCTTTTGACGAGCTTCGATTTAACATCCATATTGTATGTATAAAAAAAATAATTTATATTTATCTTTATAACAATAATAAAATTATTTTTAATATTAATTAGAAAAATAAAATTATTTATCAACTAATATATTTATATTTCAAGTAGTTATATGATATAAGTTATAACAACTAATATAATATAACACATGTAAGTCATAAGTAACACATATCTTTCTAAAATATATAGTAATATATTTTTTTTGTAAAAAAATAAACTAAATTTAATATAGTTTTTTCATTCATTTTTAAATTTAAGAATAATTTTTTAACAAGCACCCGTGTAATACACGGGTGTTGTACTAGTATAATATGAATAGAAAAATAAGTGGCATCCAATTTTTGCTGATACTCATATGCCTGGGCTAATTAAAATGCTAAAAAATTGGGCCGGGCCTAAGTAAAGTTCAATCAGCCTGTTTATTTTCTAAATACTCTCTGGGCCGTATTACGGTGGACTCTTTTGCTTGGACCTAAACATGTACATTAGTCATTATGGAAATCGATGACGATATCATATGCACGATCAACTGCACGTACAGTTTAATTTTTTTAATTATTCATAGTGTCACGCACGAGTTGCACAACAAGAAATAATTTAAGAAATTACAGATTAATCAATATTTTAATAGGGACTCGTCTTTCAAAACTCTAATTCATAAAATTGCGTTATTTTTTATTTAATTTATGTTATCTAAAAAAAAATACATGTTATAAAGATTATAATTTCTATTCTCGAGTAAATTATTTTTCACAGTGGTTGAAAAAGAGATCCACTAATTTATCACTTTAAGTGCATCTTTTGAATAATTAAATAAATAACTTTTGTTTTTCTTTATTATAAAATTAAATAATTTATTAAATATGAATTAAAAATTTATAAACTTATGTATCAGTTAAAAAGTTATAATTTCATTACATATATACTCGTTAAGAAAAATTCTTATAATATAAGACGGATAAATTGTATAAGTGAAATCCTCATTTCAGATGTAAATAATCATAATATTTTTAGAAGTACTTATTAATTTTTATGTACAAAACTCGTATCTTACATTTTTTTATATGAATTTCAGTATAAGTTTTTTAACTAGCACCCTTTTAATCACTATCACTCGTACTGGTTTTGATGTGTTGTCGCACGTCGAATCGGCCTCCTTCGTCCTTACACCAATTTCTCCACGAAGACCTGCAAAGTACGTCAGGAGGCGTTCCCAACGTAAAATCTCCAACGATCAAGTCAATGAATAGTTATGGAAAGTTGTATATAACTGTATTACAAAGCTTATAATATATAGAGTGATTAACCCTTTACCTTCTGTCCCTCTCACCTATTTATAGTGAATTATTGGTTTATTGAACAAGCTTTACCTTGCATGGCTGCTCGGACTGCTCGACGAATATTTGGCTGCCCCTAGGTCTTCCCGAGTCAAATCCTTACCGTAAGATTATTTAGTTATTCCCTTGTAGTCATACACATGTCCCCTATTAAAAACTTGGCCCTGATCTGCTGTGTTGTTCGAGCTATCCCGTGTCTGAGCTAGTAACATACTTATCCTGTCAAGGCTACCTGTTTCTTACGTTATCCGAGTTGTCTTATGTCCGGGCTTCGAACATACCTAGGTTTGTTGAGCTTACTTGTTCCCTAACACATTATTGTCAAATGTACGAACTACTTGTCTGTTATGTTATTTGAGTTGTGTTATGTCCGAGCAACGGACACGCCTAGTTTGTCCGAGCTACTTGGGTCCCCAACACCTCACTGTCGAACGTCCAAGCTACTTGTCTGCTATGTTATCCGAGCAGTCTTATGTCCGAGCTATGGCACCTTTTCCCTTGAAGTCGAATTTGACTGCGTGAGACTCCTCCGGCGAGAAAAGTAGGGCTCCTTTTCCCGGGCGCTGCTGTTGATGGTGGTTCCATGCGGTTCCCTTGAATTTGACTATGTATGTGAGAGTGTGTGTGTGTGAGAGAGAGGATGAAAGATGAAGGAGAAAAAGATTAAAATGACATTTTGACCTTAAATTTGGTGCGTGTGTGTAACACGCTCGCTTTTTCGGTGAAAATGGGCCGCTGACGGCCCGAGGTTGCGATATAGTGTATTAAAGGTTGCAATTTAGTACAAATTTTTTTTTTTGGTTGTAAACCCCAAATTCACGTATAGTACAGGTTGCAAATTATCATTTACCCTAATAATAATAACAAGAATGTTACACAAAGTGTGTTTAAATTACAACGGGAACCTATGAACTGACTGAAATGTTCAGTTCGTACAAAAGAACTAAAACAAAAAATTAAATTACA